GGTAGGTGCACAACCTTCAAACTGATATCCCACAATTCTGGGTGAAACGTGGCTCCAAGGTGTGAGTTAACCGAAAGCTTAGTGTCATTCGAGTCGAAGTTAACCCATTAGATATCAAGGCTGTCTACTGAACTCCTGTGGTAGAACCAGTAGCGGGGGTTCTTCCTGCTNCGGAGTTGGGTAGTCTGAAACTAGCAGATGCTATCCAGCTGGTTATCGTGGAGACTACGCATAGTTATCTTGCGACTGCAATCCTTCAACAGGGTGCAGATATTCCAACACCCGATGTGCACAGGTTTTCTTGTGTTGGCCTACTGGTCTCCTCTGCTCTTGGGTTAGCATAGAATGCGTCACTTCCCGGGAATGAGGTAGTATTATATGAGTCAATTGGTTTTGACACTACGAATTAATGAGGGGATATGATGCGGGTAACGGTCTCAGTGCCGCTCCGGTCTTTTAGACGAGGGCAGCTCTGGCTTCGCAAAATCAAGTGCGACCTGCAAGGCAGAAGAATGGTCGAAGTTGATGATCCAGAACCGCAGTCGTAATTCTTGGGTTGTGAAGGTGATCTCATCCATTCAGTCAGCCGGATTCCCACCGTTGTTGCTCTGGAATCAGAGTTTGGCTTACTTCTCCAGACGGGCAACCAATGGACTGTCAACCAGGCTATAGAACTACCCGCTTTCACTTTCGGAAAAGCACCGCCACGGGAAGGCAGTGGATAGGACCTCCTAAACAGAGGCTAAATGGTAGCACATCTCTTAGGAGCATTTATTGGAGCGTATGAGACGACTGTTCGATTCCCACAACATTTACCCCGACCGTACTGACGCGTTTAGGGTAGTCATGCTTCGGTGTTTGCAATTGCAGGAAAGGCGCTGGAGGTTGGGGAGAACTTTAGAAATTTCGGTCGCTTTTTTTAGCCCCGTCTGATAGAGCTAGTGCACGAATTCTAAGGACGCGAATTACGACACTTAAGGCTCAAGGGTCATGTGTACCGGGCTGAGGTAAGGACTGTGTTGTTGGTGATTTCAGGAGGACTAAGGACCGTACCTAAGGATAGGTTTCATTCAACGCATAGATCCAGCGGTAGCAGTTTCAATCTGTAGGTCTCTCCCGGTTTTACATTCCAGTGGGCACCTGTTGACCAATTTGAACTCTGCTCTTCCTGTGAAGCAGACAGATGTGCACTCAGAATCGCACTCTTGCCTTTACTCGCTCCTCAATGGGATCTTACTGAAACATCCTTGAACATCCGCTCATGAGGTGTGGAGATTATGGCCAATCATATCAAGGACTAGATAGAATGCTGTGCTTCTAATAACATACGTTCCCAATGTTTGGAGTGCTTGAGACTTTCGACCTAGCAGTGATTGCGTTTCAGAGGGTACCTTTGAGACGCTGAGCATGATAAGGAACAATTTCGCTGGTCCATGTGTCTGCTGTGTAGAATTCCTCAATTTTGAGGACAGGAAAGATGCAAGCATACCAAACGGCCAATGATCGATAAAAGCACCCAATGACTAGAGTGCAGACGAATGCAAAGGGAGAGCGAAATTCCGTTGACATTGGTCTATATGTATGTAGTGCTAGTAACAGAGGAAATCATCATCGGCAGCATGACATCAGTGTTCAACGCTGATGCTTCACTACCGTAAAACCGTGATTTATTTGAAAGCCATATTGTGAAGAAAGGAATAAAAGTGGGCGGGAAAGGGACTTAGTTCTAGTTTGCTACAATCATTCCTCCAGCCACTCATTCAGGCACTCTGGATAGAAACGCCACTGACATCGGTTGGCAGTTATGTCTTGCAATGTCTCCAACCAGACGCAGTGGGGATCACGCGGTCTCCATCCTGGAAGGTGAGTAGCATCGACAGCACCCAAGCATTTCGTAATCTACGTCATACCCCTCTGCCACGTCAAGGGTTGGCCACCTGTGCTTTCGCCACAGCACTCTACTCAGCAAACGATGGTTAGGCACACACAACACATGTCCCAACCAGCACAGCTTCTTGTGCTGGACACATTCTTCAATGGAAGCATCTGCTGCTTAACGTCGCTTTCTAATTGCATCGTCAAGGATTGCCGACACCAACCCTCACGAGCCGTAGTTCTGAGACAACGATTGTCGAGCACCTGTAGACGTCTCAGTTCCATTGATCGAACACACCAAGTTTCACAGCCATACAACAAAACAGCCCGCACTGTAGCTTGACACACACGTCCCTTGAGATTCGGGGATACACCGCTCTGACGCCATAGGTGTCAAATCAACAAGCGCAACCCGGGCCTTGCAGATTCGTGCATTCACCTCATCTGTCACACTACAACCAGAATTCATACAAGAGATACGTAACGTAAAACGCTCCACAACCTCCAGTATCTCTCCCTGGATTGCAATTGGCGTGTTCAGTGACTGCATGTTCACGAGCATAACCTTACTCTTTGTGGATGCCGTACTCGCAAGCGGCTCGATTTTTTGGCCAATCGCTTGCAGGCTAGGTTTCTTGGCCGTGGCAGCGCATAACTGCGAGCGACAAAGCGGTATCGGTGCTGAATTTCGCCTAACAATTCCATATCTCGTCCTGATATCTATCGATTACTTCTCAGCTAGCTAGCTGAAGCCATTGTCGACGCCTGTTTTGGCCTTCCGTGGACGCTGGACCAATTCAATTCAATCTATCAGCCATAATCCGTGTGCCATAAGCCATTGTTTCCAGCTGCTACAGTGTTGATCACTGGAAAATAGGAGAGTGGGGGAGATACAACTGAGCCTTGGAGGCTATGGCATGTTCAGTTTATTCGGAAACTGAGTAGCTGCGCATTGAAGGTGATAGCTTTGATGCACGAGCGCCACTGACTGCTCGATTGGGTCATTTCCGCCAATCTCATTAACCACTAATGGTTTCAGTCCCGGTGTCCCTATCCGGAGAGGCGGCATTTGTCTACCCGACTAAGTTTACTGGTTAGTGTTTTTGTACTCCGCTGCCAGGTCACCTCACGGCCGCTTTCACTCAGCACAAGGCTGGGAAAAAGAGCTCTGTGAGCTCTTCTGGTGTCCGGAGTACCTGCCCCAACCGGCGCAATCTATGAAACGTGAGTAATTTATCTATCGCGAGAGAGTTCCTTCTTCCAAAGACCATCTGGCGTACCCTAGCATTACTAATCCGATGTTCCCACCAGAACTGAACAATGCTTCGGAGACGCCGATGATCAAACACCGACATCTTCCGTATGTCCTCTGCGCGTAGGGGCCACGTCTCTGATCCATAAGGCAGTATAAATCGCACCACCGCAGTGTAACCTCTTTCCCTGACAGAAAACCTCACGTCACTTCGATGCCATAGGTGTCGGAGTTTGGCAAAAGCTGCACTGGCCTTTCCGACTCGAGCAATAGCCTCAGCTCCAGCCAGTCCATCGGAACTTGTACATGTTGCCGGTACTTGTGAACCTTATGCCTACCACAGTTGGCTCTAATGATTCAGAATAATCTCTAGGAGCCAAGTTTCTAATCGACACAATTTTCTCCTTGTAATCAGACAGTCGTATATACTTTTTATGGATTACATCCTAACGACTCTAACTAGCAGGTTGCACCTGACAGATCTTAGCTGATTGTTAAGTATTCTGAGGTCTCCGTTTACTACCATTTAGGAGTGGAGTTCCTAAAAATTGGTCGGCTACTTAGACTAAACAGTCGCTGGTAGAGTGTGGCGTTTAAGCCAGTACAAAGGAAGAGTCCGACTGAATACTAGGCTTCAGGAAGTGCGAGCTCTTATTTTTTTCATATTCACTTTAGGATTGCAGAGCCGAATTAGTGTCTTTCTGTAAGGTACTATTGATTCTCTCAACTAGGCCTTCGCCCATTCAGTTGTAAGAAGTCGTCCGACTGGTGGCACCCTCTCTCCAATGGAGGAACTGTCGTAGCTCTGAAAACCAATATATAAGGACGCAAAACGTTCCAAAGAGCCTGGTGTGCTTGACGAAAAACGATAGTACATATCAACGGAACAGGAAAATGGGAAAATCAACTGTTGATTAGATGGTCTCTGATTTGCTGGTCGAGTTTGGCAATTCGCTTCAAGTGTTTTGTCATACGAGGGGACATCGTCAGTGAGTCGTTAGGTGGATATCTTCTCCAAGCTTACTTGCGCCCATATAGTTTTTTGAAGGCATTTGATGCCTGTAACCTGGTTGGTTGTTAGATATTTTGTTTGTGGGTAATCTAGTTGGTCCGTTCAAGGTAAATGTGGAAGAAGTGGGTAGACGGGTTCGCTACAACAATGAAGTGATGCACGTTTACCACAGTGCAGAACTCTGAACCGTTTTTATCGAAGTTTTTAGCCAGATGAAGGCATTATCTCTACACAATCTGGCAGTCGAGCTGCGAAGACCGTGTTTTGGTGCCGCCTGGACCTTCTCTCCAACCTCCATCCTGGTCTGAAAAGTCAGCGCGCCGCGGGATCCGTTCATTTACAATCCTCAATACATACCCTAGCCATAGGTCTTAACGGTGGTATATGGCACCGGCCAGCTTGCCTTCACTACGTTTGCGAAAGCCTCGTTGTCGCACAAAGACAGCGTCATCGCCAGAACAGATGAAGGTCAGGTGCCTCAAAATGGAAAACACCTAACAAACCGATCTCGGTTTATGTTCGGAAACGACAGGTATCTAGAAACAACCGAAAGGTAAGAAAACTTGTCAGTGTTAATCAAAAGACACTCTACGAGTTGTGGATGGTATAGGTCTTTGTAATCAACACTCAATCGTTCGAAAAGTTTATTGGCCTCAAAGGGTTGTTAGATCGTGGCGCAACGTAAGTTTTAGTTCCATACATGTAAGACGGCCAGAATTCATCAGTCCCCTTCAATCTGGCCGTGATCGGCGATGCGTTATTTTTGCTAACCTCCCTTTGGTTAAGGTGAATCTTTTGTGTTTTTAGGCACCCATATTTCTGAAATCATGTTTCATCTTTTTCGCTTAATTTTTATGCAGTCCGTTCTCACAGCAGCAACAGAGTGTCACCAGCATTGGCAGTCTTCTCGGCAATGTTCACGGTCAGAAAGAACCGGTCAATTTCTTTGTCCCTTCTGGGAGCGCTATCAATCTCAGTCTGTCTGATCCGCACAATCCCGGGAGTGTTCCAGGTCGCACTCCATACACTCCAAACACTTTGGCTACTCCACTGCACGAACGCGACGGCGGTATTCCACAACCTCAGTTACAGTAAGGGTAATCGGTTTGAAAACGTGGTGACGCCTGGTCGTTTTTTTTTACATTTTCGCCTATCAGTGACCTATTTTTGTCCATGGGATCTATTTATTTTCACAAATCGACTAAACTACAGCTGTCTGACGGATTTTGACTGAACATATGCGTGACAACTGAAGATACCTAAACCGATTAACTTTTTCTTTATAATTTTCTGACCTGATTATATATATATATAAGCTCAAAGGGCGGGCCTTTCGGTGGAAGCTTGAAGTTTGTTAACGGAAGGTCTGTTCGAGTCCAGCTCTGGCTTTTCGATTGCTTCTGCCAGGTCTGGATGTTCGAACAGTTGATTGACCTTATGCTTCCATCGGGTTACAAGGCAGCAATGCGCTTAAAGGGTGCTCAAAGTGGGGCTATTCATTGTGATTTACTCCTATCGTTAATTGGATGAATGCGATCTCAAGGCAGACTCAACTTGCTTGTCATTCCCTAAGGGATGTTATTACCGCAGCAGAATATTTCTATGCAAGAACGCTTTCAATACAGCATGTTTCACATTTATTTGTCGCTTGTGTTTGTGTTCTCCATAAAGAACCGTTTTCTGGCTGGTACCGTGAACGTTGATCCCTATGAAGTCCTCCACACGTACTGAGATTCATCAGTTTGGTGTTCATGGGTCAGTTACCAGCTGTTGCGGTTATCAATTCGCAGTCCTCACCCCAAAATCACCCGGCTACAGATCACACTTACACAGCTGGTGAATCCTCTCGATTAGGGTGATACTTATGCGGTGTCTGCTACGAACGACTTTCATGGGAAGGACAGCTCTATGTTTAGAGACCTCTTGTAGCTAAAAAGCTGTGCATTCAAGTGGCCGTGACCTTCAAAGTGGTCTCCATATGGGCATGTTGATTCTGGTCTTGAGGGGCTGAGGGCTGAAGGGAGAATAGTGTCAGAAAGATAAGGTTGCTGAAAATAATCCCGGAATGTCCGAAATCTACTGAAACCCTCAAACCCCACCAAAATCACAGTAGGGAAACCGTCCAGCGTCCGGGCCAGAAAGCTGGCTTCCGACTGGACGCTTCCGAGTGTTCACTCAACGCCGATCGGGCAGCCCGGATTCCAGATGGAAAGTTCGCTCTAAATACTGCGATGTTCCATGTAATTTTTGCACTCGTTCGCAACGAATCTGTTGTGTTCCTTGTTGGCGAATCTTTTTCCGACATTAAGGTACTGGAGTGGGGACAGCGCTTAGTTACAACAGATAGAGTGCATTGACCCGTTCCACAGCAGTGAATAGTAACTTAGCACGGATGGTAGAGAAGACGGGTTAGTGGAATGATCCAAATTTCGTGGTAGTGTGTTTGAAGGGCCGGGACGTTCAACAGTGCAGTTTTCTTCCAAGAATGTTTCCCTCGGAATAGACGATGCTTGTACCACCAACGCCTACCACACTTTTATATCATCTCATATCATGCATGTTTCCACATATGGAGGTGAACTATGGATTGGTTCGATTCTCCCCTAATTGTTGATTTCGCTCCTGCTAGTTAGTGTTCATTGGACGATAGTTTTCTCCCTCGTCTTGACGAGTAAACTCGAAGAGCAGTACCGATCCATTTAGGTGGGTATTCGCGGTCCAGTTAAACTGTCTCATCAAGGGCAGGGGGTTATCGTTTCGCGCTTTCGGGATTCCATCTAACCAACGTGCTCTAATGCAAGGTTTCATCAATGGAGACACGGAAGCTGATCTCGCGGGGTTGCTGTCGTAGAAAATGGGAGATGGCGGGATTCTCCTACTAACCATTGGCTGGCACAGGATCTAGGTCACACCACAACAGCATTCCGACTCCGTTTTTGCTATTTTCATGCATTGATAGCGAATATCAAACAAGGATGATTACTCTTCGAAAATTGCTGAAAGTTGTTGCATGGTCTCGTCAGAGCTGAGATCCCGTGTATTCTTTGACAGAATAAAGTTCGAATAACGTGCGTTCCGTTGTGGTACTTCTGAACAATAAGCGCACTGGTTAGACATCATGTTTATGCTTCAGTTCGTCTTTGAAGATATCTTTGTAACGTCTGAACCACGAATCGAAGTTTAGACCAGTACCAAGGTCACAATTGAACTCCGTGATGCTGTTGGCGATCGAGTCGACTGAATTTGCGTCTGCAGCGTAATTCGGTGGTTTCTACCAAACGCAGTTGCGCCGCTTCAAACTGATTTTGTTGTTGCTCCAGAACTCTCTTCAACGCTTCAGCAGTTATTGTCGTGACTCCGTGGGTTCGGGCGTCGCCAGTCTGTTATATCTGACTGCTGTTCCCGCTCCAGTGCCGGAGAACGACTCGACGGCAAGGAACACAACAGCTTTATTGCTGACATGCGAGTGCGAATGCGAGAAGTACAGCGGAATCGCGCAATGTATTCAGGGGGCACGTCTGACCTTCTCTTCAACGCTTCAGCAGTTATTGTCGTGACTCCGTGGGTTCGGGCGTCGCCAGTCTGTTATATCTGACTGCTGTTCCCGCTCCAGTGCCGGAGAACGACTCGACGGCAAGGAACACAACAGCTTTATTGCTGACATGCGAGTGCGAATGCGAGAAGTACAGCGGAATCGCGCAATGTATTCAGGGGGCACTGTCTGACCTTGATCCAGACTGTCTGGTCGGCTTTTAGTGGTGTTGAGGGTCTCAGCAGGTCTCGGGTATTCTGGGATCTGACTATCCTTACAGAGTGTCACAAACAGAATCTACATTTGGAAGTAAATGTGCCTTTTCCTCAGTTGTAAGTAAAAAACCACAATACGTTCATCCCAGTTCATCCCGTCACTCGATTTACTGATTCTCTTCCTCAGCTTTTTTTTCTATGGACGGGGACTGTTTTTATGGAAAATATTTTATTAGAGTGCATTTTCTTCACTCGTCTTCATCCTCGTCTCTTCATTTCTCCAACCTCCCTCAGAAATATTGTTTGCACTGTTTACTTGGGCTGCAAACTAAACCTGAAACAGATCGCTCTTAGTGCACGAAACGCTGAGTACAATCCCAAGCGATTTGCTGCCGTGATCATGCGCATTCGTGAACCACGAACGACAGCGCTGATATTTTCCTCAGGGAAAATGGTCTGTACCGGTGCAAAGAGCGAGGAGCGCGCCAGGCTTGCCGCGCGAAAGTACGCCCGAATAATCCAGAAACTGGGTTTCGAAGTAAGTGTGGTTTCATAGCTACCAGTAATCTTTTACTGGGTTCCATGACTGTCTTCACGGCAGTGAAACACTGATGTTGAACAGTGGTGTTGCTATCTTTGAGGATGATTTAAATGCCGGCGCTGTTCTCAAAAACACGATCCCTACTGTTACCCTGAAATGTTAAACGCATATGCCACACGTCAAGCTTCGTATCTGCCTTTAGAGGTCAGGTATAGTGTAACTGCGAAATAACGCGGACTATTGCACTCAGGGACCGGTGACATGGAAGCACGTAATTTACGCCTCTTGTTTGTTAGGTTGGATAATCACACTCGATCACATTACACTTACATGCCGCTGACATGTGGAACTGTGCTGTACCCCCAGAAATCCCACAGTGACTTTGGTTGGAATCGGTGATCATTTTGTTGTATCTGTTTTATAAGTACGTTTTTCCTGTTTTCATCAGCCCTTCAGTGAGGTACTTGAGTGAAGCGGCTCACTAGATGTTTACAGTTGCCTTGTGAACATTCCTTTAGGATGGACGTTGTCCCTTTTTAGTGGGCCTCCCGAAGACGCTTATTGACATTGACTTGTTTGTTCGACGTAACACATAGGAAACGTCTCTCCTCTTCGGGTCTCCTCGGGTTTATGCGCAAGATCCAGAATGCATGTGGACCCTTGGGACTAGTTCGTCAATCTCATCCATCTGTTGCAAAAATATCCAAGTAATACATGCAACCCATGGATCCTTGTTGTGCGTTTGTGCCCTTTGGGACCATTGATTGAGCTATTTAGAAAGGGCTGCTGTCAAATGTTTCCTTTCCATACCACTCGGCTATTCAAGAAGTGTTTCAGGAGGCAAAGAAGTTGTGCAGGTGGTTGAAAGTTTTTGTTACTCACGAACGTGCTCTTCAGGTAACGAGGGTTCATACTCACCCGTTTTGCGAAACGCAGTTGACAGCTGACCAGTTGGGACAGTTGGCAGTAACAAACATTCTGAAAGTAGGAATTCAGTCAACTTTGCCTAATAATATTTAAGTAGGAGTTGCTCATTCTGTCGACAGGCCACTAGCTGCCGTGTTTATCTAATAACCGCTTCTAACAGCTAATGATCCTTAGCAAGGATGAGGCAGTATGGATCGTCTTCACTTGCAGGACGCACCCAATTCTGGGACTGGGCTTGCTAAGTCGTCATCACGAACTACTGTTTTGACTTATTGTTCTTCCGTTCAAGACGTTATAATAATATAACGCACCCTAAAGAATGGTCCAATTAACATAGCCTGTCAAACCCGTTATGACATTTCCTATCATCGCCTTCCTCGTTTTTCATCGGTCTACCCGTCTGGTTTTGGTCTGATTACAGAGCTTGGCAGCTTGATTGTTATCGTTCCCCGCCGATCGGGGACTATTTTCAGTGCACTTTCGCTTATGGCCAACGAAGAATAGCCGATGGTTGGTGACAAAACAGTTGCAGTCCAACTCCCAAGCTCAGCGATCAAACCAATAACTAAGCAGCGCACTTGACTGCCCTTCTTTCCTCTGGCTTCACAATGACATGAAGTGCTAATCAAATGGGGAGAAGCTTTCTGTTCATCAGCGAGCATTGTTACTTGGCAGATATTCCTGATAGACCACAGATAGCATTTTTGAACGATCAGCTGGATCCTTTGCTCATAATATTCTTCAACTGAATGTGCCTCACAAACGCCGCCTCATGTTTTACTTGGAACGATATTCAATATATAGAAGTGTTTCCCTGTATATGACATTGGTTTGACTAATTAGAGACTCAGCTGTTAACACCCTCTTAGTTGTCAACTGAGGTCACTAGCTCGCTTATTGTGCTAAAAGTCGCTACTTTCGCAAAGTCACTCAGCGCGAACCCCAGTCTGTTAGTGTCAGGTGTCGGATGTAGGGCTTCTAGTGTAAATTCTCTGAATAATGGTAAGGACCTGCAGTATTAATTATTGTCCGCTTTTGTGGTGTTCATGAGTATTTCGATAATATTTCGTCTGTGACCGCAGATCTAGCCTACACCTTTCTTCCTCAGCGAAATCACGCAATAAGGCTTCGTTGAAGAGATTCTACTCTCACACCTTGTACCGATCTTTCCATGTGATCGGGCTGAAATTGCTTATTCTACTCTTTTAAAACGCGCGGCAATGATAGTTCTCTCATACACCATGTACTATACTTTTGTACTTACTGTTCCGAACCGGAACGCACGTTTCTACACCTATGGGCAGTGAGCTAAGCATGTCAGTGTGATCGTACTAACATATATAGCAACGTATGTATGTAATAATCTATTTAATATGTATGTATGTAACATAACATTAAACTGACGTTAGAGCATATTGCGAACCGTGTCTGATCCACTTGCCCGATGTGAACTGAATCCATTCTGCCGATCAGCATCGACTTGAGCGCTTTCTTTCTGGGAACGTTTTCTTTACTCTTAGGCCCATTTTAAGGAATTCAAAATTCAAAACATGGTCGGCTCCTGTGACGTCCGCTTCCATATCCGCCTAGAAGGTCTGGTACTCGCCCAAGGTCAATTCGCCACGTGAGTCTCCTCATTGCAGTAGTATCTGAAGTGGACTCCTACAGATTTGTTTTGCTTGTTTCGCGTTGTTTTTGGATCCAATCACTGCCCTTTCTATCTACTTTTCCCTGCCACACCCGCTTCATATCACCATGAATACACGAATGAAGGTCCTCAGTAGTGAGATACAGTGATGTCCCTGAACAATAGTTTTCGCTCACGCGAAATGAATCGTTTGTCTCGGCCTTGTGGAGTGACTTATCGTCGTTTTTCGCCCATTGGTAATGAGAGGTAAAGTTCTTTGAAAATATGAAAGCTGGGGACATTTTTCATAAACACCTGTGGATAGATTCGAAGCACCAGCCTTCTGTCTACCAGGTGGGTGCTGTCAAGTGGGCTACTGAGTATACTTGCTTCATGCGCTTGAATTCACAGGTGACTTGCCGGGCCTATTGAGCTAAAGGGTGATTTATCGACGTCATTAGGGAGCGTCGTTTGTGACTTCCATGGTGGGACAGACATTGGTCTAATTTAGATACTCAAGGGCCGTTTGTGTCGACTGATGTAAGTGGTAAATACGTGGTAAATACTAAGAACGAACTTTTGTGCAGTTCTACCAAGTTGCTTGTACTAGGATTCTGTTGTACTCAATAACGGTCCTACTCCGAAGGCATAAGGATATAAATATTTCTTGAAGATTCTTTTCACGTCTTTGTTTCTGTGACAACGTGCGTGCAGCTTACCTGGACGGAACCCTGTAGTCATTTTGAAGTTGCTTTGGACTGTGCGTGTTAGCCGAGTACTTAGTGGAAGAAGGTATTTGACGGAATCACCACTCTTGTGAAAGCAGTCACATTTTGTTTGTATCTCTCCATCCTTGCTTGTAACCATCTCTAGCTTCCACCATACACCAATAGGATCACCCTGAGATGCTAATCTTCATTGATGATGCTTATTAACCTTTCGAAATACCCGCCCATCCCATCTAGCTATGAACCGGAGCTGTTTCCAGGTCTCATCTACCGAATGACCAAACCAAAAATCGTACTGCTCATTTTCGTTTCCGGAAAAATTGTCCTAACTGGTGAGTGTGGCGCCTGTGGTTATGTCTTGTCTCTCACGGACCCGATCATCCGCACCGACCAGTGTATGATGTTGCGCTCGCGAGGACGATGAGCAATGTGCTTGAGCACCTTCTGAACTGTTCCAGTCTTTTCACATGTTAACCATAGGTGGTGTGAGGCTGTCTTCAACATTACGTACATACATTTGCGTTATACATGACACAGCACATGATGTACAGGACACGGATACAACATACGCAGTATACTACAAGAAGAAGCATTCACTTCGAATGTTGGACACGCACGCCACTTGTGGCATATATATATATATATATA